AAACTTTTTAAGAAATACATTGTTTCTACACTTACAGCCAAAAATATTGCAATATGCTCAGTATTAGATATGTGTGTATATCTATGTTTAAATATTTGTAATATATCTATTGATCTACCTATGGAGAGAGAGAGAGACTGTTTTCCAAACAATTCCTGATCTTTGAGCTTTGACTATGGAGGAGGGAGGGAGGCAGGCATCAAAGACTATTATTTCCACTTTATGGAGGCAGAAACTGAGGCAGCGAGCTGGGAAGGCTGTGGCTCAGCCCTGTGAGTCAGGGCAGGCGGGGCTACAGGCTGTAGCCTGCAGCCAGTCCCTGAGACCTGTTTCTGCCCCTCAGGGACTGTGTGTGTGCTCCATGGGAAGGAAAATGGAATCAGGCAGAAGAAGGCAACATCTACCAGCGGTTCACCTCCTCCAGGAAGCCCCCGTGGGCATCCATGATTCTCTCCAACTCTCCTAAGATCTGGGGCCAGCATAACAGAGTACCACAGACTTGAGCCTTAAATAACAAAAATTTATTTTCTCACAGTTGTGGAGGCTGGAAGTCCGAGATCGGCAGGGTTGGTTCCCGCTGAGGGCTGTCTCTGTGGCTTCCATCGGCCATCTTCTCCCTGTGCCTTCCAGCCTCTTCCCTCATGGTCCTCATCTCCTCCTCTTATGAGCACACTGGTTATACTGGACTAGGACCACCCTAATGACCTCCTTTTAACTTAATTACCTCTTAATTACTATCTCCAAAGAGAGTCCCATTCTGAGGTACTGGGACTAGAACTTTAACACGTAAGTTTGAGGGAGACCCAATACTGCCCATAGCAGCATCCCATGGGGGAAAAATCAGACTTGGGGTGAGGAGATTGGGTGTGGTCTGTTGAGAAGACTCATGCCCCTTTGGAGCCCCACCCACTCCGTCTGCAAATGGGACAAGAAATACCAACATGCAAATTAATCTGTGGGAGGGAGCGAGCCTGTGGGAGCCGAAGCAGGGTGGGTCCAGGGAGTGAGTGGTGTCCCTGGGGCTAGCCCTTTCACAAGTCTACCCATGCCAAGGAACCTCAGGGGAATCCTATTAACAGAAAGAAATGCCTCTGGCTCCTTGTCCCCCAACAAAGTCAGCAGCCCCTCCTCCAAATAGTCTTACTGTTTTTTTCTGGAAGGCTCTGGAGGATCTTCTGGAGACCTAGGTTATCTCACAGTCTTCTCTGCTTCCCCTCCCCCACCCCACTGCTGTTCACGGTAGCCTCAGCACCCACAGCTGCAGGTTCTCAGGTGCACGGTGCAATCAACCTCCCTTCCAGCCTCAGAGCCACACCATGCCCTGAACAGAGGAGGGGCAAGCCCCAGCCCATCCCACTCCTGGTTGACATCTTCTGTCCCCTGGACCCCCCTCTGAACCCTTTCCCGTGACCATTGCCTGTGCCCGGAGTTTCATCAGGGCTCACTCCATCGGGCTCAGGCCAAATCCACCAACTGCCTTGGTGTCTACCATCAACCCGCCATTTTAACTCCTCAGGCTCACAATCCGCCTCCACACAAATGGCTGTGAGGCCCCCATTGGCACCCTCAGAGAGGCCACTCAGGCTCCAATCAGCCTGAAAGTGTCTGGTCCCTCTGGGGACACTGAGAGTTCCAGCGGGCAGGGACCTGTCTTCCTTCCTCTCTGCCGCCTAACAGTGCGCTGAGTCAGCCTGGGGACTAGCACATAGTAGGTGCTTAGGAAAGGCCTGTGAGTGGAATCATTTGCTGGGTTTCTGTGGGATTTCTTGGAGACATAGTCTTTACCTAGCGCAAGCTAATACTAAACACAACACCTGGTACCATTATTAAGCATTTACTGTGTACAAAACCAGCATCATCTATGCCTCATAACTCAGCACCTCACAAGAACCCCTCTAGATGGGCCTCTAACTCATTTAACCAAGGAGTAAACAGAGGAGGAGTCAGTCTGACCTGAGACTCCTTCCGAATGTCCAAGCTCTGCAGCCCCCAGCACCAGCCAGATGCAGCTTGAGAAAGGTGGGTGTGTGGGGGGGGTGGGGAGCTGTCTGAAGGCAAAGCACAAACCTTGAGCCAGGACCATCTCCGAGCTGCTGAGCTGGGGCTATTTCAAGCAATGTTGAAAGTACATTCTGTGGTCACTAGTCTGCACTTGAGCCACTAGGAATGGACTGAAAGGTCAAATCAAAGTAGGAATCCCCCTGTGGTGTGTTGACCAGCTCTGTATCACTTAAAAATAAGTCTCTGGTCCGAGCTGTGCAGTTAGATAGTTTGCTCAGCCCCTTGTTTTTAATCAGAACTTTATACTCTTTCTTCCTGGGAGGGGGTGGGTATCGCCAGACAGCATGCATTTATAATCACCTACTGTGAGCTGGTCATTTAAACTGTAATCATGACCACAAGCCTATTGAGGATGCATCAGTGGCCCCAGGGGATGCCGGTCTTCAGTGCAAATTCAAAATCTAATCTGGCTGATACCAAAACTGAAGTTTTCTTTCTACTATACGATCTCAGTTCACAATCTAGAAGCCTATCGGACATTCTAGCAGGATCTCTGAAGTCCTTCCCACTGAACTTTGAGCCCATTTGCTGTTATGAGCACCAGCACCATCACCTTCATCATCTTCCCACCATCATCACCACCATCATCAGCGCCACTCAGCTTAATGGAAATATGACTTACATACAGGAAAATGCAAAAATTAAAAACGAATAGCAGAATAAATGGTCACAATGCGAATACACCAGTGTAATCAAAAGAAACCAAACCAAAGAAAACAAAAGAAACAAAACATTGGCAGCTCCCGGAAGCCCTTAGTCAGCCCCAGTCACCACCCCGTCTTCGGGAGACTGCCGTCTGGACATACAAAGGCACGAATTAGCTGGGCTGCGTGGGAAGGGCAGGTCAACAGTCTGGCGGTCGGTGCCCTCTGTGTCTGGCTCTTAGTGTTCTCTGCTCCATCAACATCATGTGTGTGACTTCCCCACGTTGTGGTGTGTGGTTGTGGCTCACGGGTGTGGTGTTATTGTGCAGTGGCTGTCCCCCGTCTATCCATACAGCGGCTGGCGGGCTTTAGGATGGTTTCCCGTTTTAATCCAGTGGCTTCAGCCTCTGTGCAGCCGGGGAAGTGATCACTCTCCCACGAACGAATCTCAGGTCTCCTGTTTCTAGTCTCTCCCCAGTTTCCTTCCCTGTAAAATGGGATCAACGATATCTCCTTCTGGTGTGGCTGGGAAAATTAAACCAGATAATCACCCTGTGGTGGAGGCTTAGCAGAAAGTAGCTATTCTTTTTTTTTTTTTAATAAGATTTATTTATGCATATAAGGGTTGGGGTATAGGCCAGAGGTGCAGGGGATGAGAGGATTCACCAGAGACAAAGTGGGGAGCAGAACAGGCAGACTGACTGAAATACACTGCTGAGGGGAGCAGCAGGCGAGACAGGAGAAATCTGCTGCGTCATGTGGGTCATCTCCCTGGCCGGGGATCGAACTTGTGCTGCAGTGGCTGCGGATTGCTTCATAGTGCCGACACTTAACCCCTTGCGTCACCAGGGAGGCCCAGAAAGTAGCTATTCTTGATAGAATTTGCACTCCAGCCTCCGAGCCCCCTCCCACACCTTTCCTCCCACCACCAGAGCGACTGTGGCCTAACAGTGTCACCATGTGTTTCTCCTGTTGTGTCCAGGGAGTGAAAACATGAAAGCTCACAACTGCTGAAGGTTTGCAGAAGAGGAAAGTGAGAGGAGCTGGGTTTCCCCAGAAGTTTCCACACCGGATCTTTGCTGTGCTCTGGCAGGGCAAGAGCAGGAAGGGAGAGAGCTGAGATTCCCTCACAGGAAAGAACAGAAGAAAAGGTGATGGATGTATTTATTATAAGCAGCGATGGTGCAGATGGCAGAGAAGACCATGTGTGTGGCCACCACTCATTTATTGAGCTCGAGCTGCAGACCAGGCCCTTCCCACGTGCTTTGTCTGAACTCCAACAAGCCTATGAAGTAAGTACTGTTTGCACCCCACTGTTACATATGAGGAAATGGAAGGCATGGAGGTGAGGCAGCAGTAATGTTGGGCTGGGGGGCAGGGTTGGCAGCCATGACCCAGGCTGTCTGGTTTTGGGTCCCCCCGCCGCTGCCCGTCCCTCTCTTTCATGCAGCGGTGCATCTCATGCACCAGGGTTGTTAGAATGGCATCCTCTCTGCGATGAAACTTGGTGTGGGGAGCCAGGTACAGGTGACCTCTAACCCCGCAGCAATTGGAGGAGGGCAGACGATGGTCTTCTGACGGGGCCCATTCCCCAGACAAGGAATGCAGGGCTTGTGAAGGTAAAGTAAGGGGCCTCACGGCTATAAGAGCTGGAGCCAGCATTGGAACCCCAAATCCTGCCTTGCAGAGGTGCCTGGGGCTCTGGGTATTGGGACAACTGGTTTTGAGGCCTCTTTGTAGCATCAGTAGCTTGTCTTCTCTAGGGATAAGCCTTCTGGCATCAACAAAGGGTTTGTGGTCTTCATGACTTTTGCCCAAATGACATCAGGTGGGGGGAGCTGAGATGTGCCATGTGCCCCCTCACTGCCCAGAGCTTGCGACTGTTCTAGAGATGAGAATAAATTGTGTCACTGAAAGGGGTGATGATCACGTGATGGGACGAGGCTCTGACGGACCACCCAAAGCGGTCGTCACAACAGGCAAAGGAATCAACTCACCACATGTTCGCCTGACACAAGGCTCACTCATGTCAAATGTATTTCAGGAAAAAATGTAGCTGGTGCTCGATGAGTTCCTAAATAATTAAAATATTTTTCTTATTTATGTTTTCCAAATCTTCAGTGCTAACTATGTATTTCTTTTGCAATCAAAAATAAAATTCCCCCGTGTCAGAAAAGAGGAAACAGGGGGAGCATGGGTGACCTCCACTTGAGCTGGGCGGGGGCAGGCTGCACTGGGGGGGGGTGTCCCTGATATAAGGGGCTGCCAGGGTTTCTCCTGCTCCGTGCTGGGATCATGGAACTTCCCCTGCTGTGTGCACTGGTGGTGTTTGCTGGTAAGTGGGGACAGGATTGGAGACTAAGAGGGATGCAGGGGTGCAGGTCGGCCCTATTTCTCCTTCCTAGAGGAGTGACTGCTCTGATCCCCAGTGTCCTGAGTCCCCAGAACCCCAGCCCTCCTGGCCTCTGCCAGGAACTATCAGCAGCTGCCTAGCACAGTGGCTTCAGCCTGAGCTCGCACTGGCCAAGCTGTGTGTCCCTCTGAACACTGTGAAGGTGAGGAAGTCGAGGTTTGGGGCTGGGGTCTGCTGGCATTTTGGACACAAGCTGCAGAAATGGATGTCTCCACCTCACCTTACTCCCCCCTATTCCCTGGGCCCATAAATCACATCTTTTCACGTCCACAGAGCTCCGTGTTCTCAGAACTCTCTTGTGTCCACTACCTCGCCGGAAACCAAGAGGATTCTGTTAACTATTGGTGGCAAATGGGACCATTTCCTTTCTGTCTTTAGCAGATCAAATGTAAAACTGTTGTTCTTAGCAAATTGGCTTATTTGCTTCTTGATCCATCTCGAGAGCTCTGACTGTAGACTGTAGACTGAAAGCTCTGACTGTATTTTTCTTTCTTATTTACATTTTATTAGGAAAAAGAGAATGAAAAAGAGAGGCCCCTGCATAGTCACAGGCGGGCAGGAGGGCTGCCTTGGACTTGCATTTTTAAATGTGGTTTTATGTTCCTCTGGGACTTCAAAATTCATAAAAGGAAACTATTTCCTGGTTATAGTGAAAACCATTAGGAAAACTGCAATCGAGCTGCAGGAATTCACCTCTCAGACCTAAAGGCAATATAGATAAAGATCAAACACACCAAGGGCTGGCACCAGCATCTCCCTGCAGTGCAACCATGGCCACATCACCCCACCTCACTGAACCCTCATCTGTAACTTGGGCATTCTCCTCATTGGGGTGTTCAACGAGAAAATGAGAATGAGAAAATAAGAAAATGCACTCAGGGTGTTTAGCAAGTAGAAATAATAAGCACATAATAGCTCAGCACACGGAGTGTGCAGGAGGAGGAAGCCTCCAGAATGTGCCCTCCCACAGTCCCTCTGGCTAACTGTTGGGAGAAAGGACTCCCTTCCTCCCGTTGGCAGCCAAGGATGGGGAAATCCCAAGACAGGAATTGCTAAGCTAAACCAGTTCACCTAAACCCGTATCCATAGATGGAGCTCCTTGGTTTTTCAGGGCTGGGGTTGCCTCACCGTAAAATGACAGAGCCCTCCCCAGAGAACAGTGAAACAAATTAAATTTATTGTCTGCCTGGGAGGGAGAGCCGTATCGCTCAGGTGTGACTGTGGATTTCTGAGCTGAAATGGAAAGAGCTAGACTTGGGGCAGAAGAAAGGCAGGGGTTGGGGAGGGGCCCAAAAGGCAGGATTCTGAACATAGTCCCGGGTGGCCCTCAAGGGATTGAGCCTCTTTGCCATGGTTACCCTCGGGGTCCTCATCACTGAATCTGGAGATCTAGAGGCCTGGCATCCCTCGTCAGCACAGCTGAGGCTCAGCAAGTTGCCCTTGGCCCAGCCCGTCTAGTTAGGGCCACTGTCAACCAGGAGGTGGCCACACGATCTCCACCCAGCGGGCCATGCTGGGACACAGCAGACCTGTGTGGACCAGACTGCACCCCCCACCCCACCCCATCACCTTAGGCTGCAGCCCAGGGGCATCTGCTGTGGCCCTGCCCTTGGACCCTCCCAGGCCCTCTCTCCCACCCTAACAACCCCCAGCGTAGGACTCACGCCCCTCCCAGCCTCCCTCCTTTGCCTGAGGTTGGGGGCTCCGTAACCAGGGGCCTACGCATCCCAGACTCCCTGAGAAGCTGGCTCCATCTGAGTTCTTGAATCATCGCAGGAAATACATGCACATTTCAGCCCCCTTCCTATCTGGTCTATTTCTCCCAAAGTCTTCCCTGAATTCATTGACTCAATATATTTTATTTCTCCTAACTCAGCATAATGCTTCCCTCTCTTCCAATAAAATTAATTCCCCTTATGGTCAATTCTAACTAACAGCTGAAATGAAAAATATACATGAAAATCGTTGGTTTCTAAATCTCACTGCCTCCCAGGAGAGGCACGTTTGCTCCAGGATGCAGAGGTGGGGGTGGAGGGTTCCAGAAGGAGTCTAAGGCCCAATTACTCTTTTGCCTATAGAATGGAAACGCAGCATCCACAGGTGGAGGATGAAACGACTGCCTTGGGTTTCAATCCCAGCCACTGCGGACTGGAGCAGTTTACTGAGCCTAGGGCTGCTTATTCATAAAATGGGAGTTAAAAAAGAATTCCTTGTGCCAACATTGGCTGCTTCGTTTTAATAAATGTACCACAATTATGTAAGGTGGTAACAGTAAAGGAAACTGGGCACCTGAAGACCCTCTACGTGATCCTTGCAACTTTTCTGTTCGTCTACCCTATAATTCTCCCAAAATTTATTTATGACAAAAAGAGTATTTATCTCGGGCATCCCCGGTGGCTCAGTGGTTGAGCGCTGGGTTGCGAAGCTGCCCACAGCCTCTAAAGCGCCGGTTCGATCCCCGGCTGCTCCCTGGCCACCGGAGGAGGGTCCCACATGGCGCGCAGACCTCTCCTGCCGCCCGCTGCTCCCCTCAGCAGTGTACTTCGGTCCTTCTGCCTGCTCTGCTCCCCACTCTGGCTCTGGTGAATTCTCTCACCCTCCCGCACTTCTGACTGTACCCAGTGCTTGTATAAATAAATAAATAAATCTTTGGAAAAAAAAAAAGAGTATTTATCTCATGGGGTGGATGGGATCAATGAGTTAGTTGATCAGGAAGAGACCGAGGTAAGCCTGCGCTCTCTGTCATTCTATTCATCACTTGGTGTTTGCAGTCACCAAGGCTGGGTCCAGGCAGCGCTGAGATCCGTGCCTCCCCCGTTGCTGGGTTTCTCGGCAGGTGTGGTTCCAGCCCAGAGCGGGATCCTGAACCTCAACAAGATGATCAAGCACATGACCGGGAAGATTCCCTTCTTCTCCTACTGGCCCTACGGCTGTTACTGTGGACTTGGCGGCAAAGGCCAACCCAAGGACGCCTCGGACTGGTTGGTAACCCCTCCTGGCAGGCCCTAGCAGCAGTTCTGTCCTCTCCTCTCCCCTGGACTCTTGCCCCGCCTCTCCCTTGCCTCTCCATCCCCTCCCTCATTCCAGGAATTCATGATCGTTGTGCTACCGCTAGGAACTCAGCTGAGAGCCAACACAGTCCTGGAGTCCCCTGGAAGCCTCCCTTGCACTCCCAAGCTCCATCTTCTTAGAGCACCCACCCACATGCCCCACTTGCCCCTGCATGCAGGTTTTCGCCGTCACCTCAGGTGATCTTCACAACCACCCTGGAAATCAGCCAGAGGGGGATGAGCACCGGCCAGGCCCTGGGTCACCTCCCTGATCCATCACAGACAGGCTGTGTGGCCTTGGGCAAGTGGCTTGGCCTCTCTGAGTTTCACTTTTCTCATCTGTGAAATGGGAGTAATACTAATACTTCCATTACCAGATGGTAGTGAGGATTAAGAGGGAACCGTAGATCAAGCAGGATCCTGGTGCGTCGGAGTCCCTTGATCATCATGTCAGCTAGCATGACACAAGAACAGAGCCCACGGCCTTGACAGCGGACTCAGTTTTCTCCTCTGGGGTGGGGGCAACCAGAGCAGACTGAGCCAAGGACCCATCGCGCAACTGTGCCCCTGCCTGCTTCACTCCTGCCCTCTCTCCCCAGGTGCTGCAAGGTCCATGACTGCTGCTATGCCCACCTGAGGCACCATCAGTGCCGCATTCACTGGGACCATTACAAGTACAACATTTCCGAGGGGAACATCCAGTGCTGTGAGTGCCTGGGCCTCGGGGCTGGAGGTGGAGGCAAGGAAGGGCGTTCTGGCACCCTCTGTCTTCTTACTCTGTGTGACAGATGCACAAATCACTCGACCTCTCTGTTTTTCTCACGTGTCCAAATGACCTATGGAGGAAGGGCAGGAATGGAGGAGGGAGTAGGGAGAGGGCCAGTGGCGACTTTGACCCCTTCAGGATCTGCTTGGATCCCAGGCCCACCCTGGGCCAGCTCTATGACCTTGAGCACGTTGCTAGCCCTCTCTGAGCCTCGGTGTGCTCACCAGTAAACTCAGGAGATAGTAGCACTCTACCCCATAGAGTGAATGCAAGAGCTAAAAGGAGAGCAGGCGGAACCAGGCTGGCGGACAGAGTGCGGGCCTGACAAACCGCACAGGCCACGAGGTGATTGTCACGGCCTCCTTCACGGCTGAGCCTCCCAGCAGCCCAACACAGGCCCAGCCGCCCTGATCGCCATTTACAGACAAGGAAACAGACTCAAGAAGTGCCTGCCCAGGGTCACACGGCACAGCCACTCACCTGGGCTGGAACCAGCCTCCCCGGCGAGGGGACAGTAGCAGGTCCTAGGGCCGTGAACTGAATGGGTTCATCCTGTCAATTGAGGCTTTAATAACAAGGCCCGCAATTTGTTGCGCACTAACTATATGATCCCTTTACCTTCTTACCTTAAGAAGCAATTCTCATGATGCCTCATTATTCTCACATAATGAAACTGAAGCCCCACGGGCCCTCATGGAGGCTCAGAGACTTTGCACCTCCTGTTCCCTCTGCCTGGAGCCCTGCCCCCCCACCACTGCTGCTTTCCCTAATGGGGGGCAGACCCTTCAGATCTCCACTCAAAGGGCTCCCCTGCACCGACTCAGACCCTGCTCTTTGCAAGCACGTGGCTCTGTGTCTGTCCAACCTTCCGCTAGTGTCTGATAGTCACGTGTGGTTCTGAGTACCTGCCACCCCCACAAGTGTGACTCTCACATGTCTATTTTAATCACTCTTTGCACCCCCACCCCCGCTGCCCCCCTCCGCCACCTGACAGGTGCTCACTGGCTTCTCGAGTGCATGGCCACATGAAGGAGCTTTCAGGGAGATCATGGCACATGCTCAGGGTCAAGAAGTCAGAGTCCAGGCAGCTGTGCCGGGTGCCCTGAAGCTAGCAAAGATTGCCTTGGCCACAGAGGGGCCTCCTCCAGGCCCCAGCCCCGGCCCTGCCTCAGGGAGGAATGGACACTGAGCCCCCTTCTCCTCCCCACAGCCACCAAGGGGAGCTGGTGTCAGCAGCAGCTGTGCGCCTGCGACAAGGAGGTGGCCCTCTGCCTGAAGCGTAACCTGGACACCTACCAGAAGCGCTGGCGTTACTACTGGCGGCCCCACTGCAAGGGCCCCAGCCCGGAGTGCTAAGAGAAGCCCGCCCACCGCCCCATCCCCCTGTGCCATCCTCCCGCTCAGTCCTCCCACTCTGAGCTCCGAAGCTCCAGCAGGATGCTGCCGTGTACCCCGGGATCTAGCCCCCACCCTTCAACCAGCCTGGCTCCTTTAAAACACTCTCTGGTGGAGGGAGGGACTCGGCTTCTCCCCCACCCCTGCTGCCCCTCTAGGACCTTCCAGACCCTCTGAGCATAGAATGGGAGCTTAGGAAAAGCCCAGACCAGGAGCCCAGGGATGATGTTTTGTTTGGGCCAAAACAGCAGACGTGGGGGCAGGGTGTGGGGGGTGAAGCAGCAAAGTGGCCTGCCCTCCACCACTCCGGGTTTCCTGGGCCCAGCCTCAGCCCCTCCAATAGACTGTCCCAGCTATGTTGAGTGGCCTCTCCAAAGGGTAATTCCCAACACCCCATGTCCTCCCCCTCCTTGGGATGGGGCCGCTCACACCTGTTCGGGACCCACACACTTAGTACTGTGTCCTTGTCCCGACCTGGGCTTGGAGGTCCTTGTGTTGGGGAGCCGGGGGTGCAACTGAGACTCAGCTGTGTCCCTAGTGTCCAGCACAGTGCTTGGAACCAAGAAGGAGCTCCGTAAACCTGGCAAAGGGCTGGGTGGAACGCCAGCTGGTTGCTCTGGCTCCAGTGCACAAGCACAGCCCACGTGTCCCGCAGGCCCTTCCGCCAGCTCCCAGGCATTGCCCCAGCGGCCTCTGCTGAGAAGCCCTGCCTGCCTATTGTTCCAGGTAGATTTGCCCTCCCCAGCTCCTCAGTGAAAGGGCTGCTTCCTATGAAAAGCCTCTGCCTCATTCCTGCACCCCGCTTCACGGGCTCACTCCCTCCTGCCAGTACCCCCAGCATCTATGAGTCTGCAGCTTACAAACCACATCTTGTGGCTTGTCTGGGCTTCCCTGAACCCTCCTGTCCTCACTACACTGAAGCTCCTAGAGGATGGAGACCACGTCTGCTTCCTCTTTGCTTCCTCTGCTCCCCTGTGTATAATGGGCGCTCAATTAATGCTTGTGGATCAAATGATCCCAGTGTGGATAGATGGGGGTTGCAGTATAAGCAATGGGTGTCCCACCCAGATCCCCTCCAGGCCCAATGCCCCACCCCCCGAGCTAAGCCAGGCGTTGGCTGCCAAGAGCTCACGTCTGACTCCTTCTGTTAAGCATAACTCTTGTCTTCTAGGAGCTGCCTTGCCCAGCCTCTGCACCCACCACACCCACCTCGAACTAATGGCAAGGGAGTATAATACCAAGGAGGGGTAATTGCCTGCCCCCCCCCACCCCCGCCTCTATTCAGGACCAGCATTGCCTGCCCTTGAACTCATTGGAGAATTAGGCTAAAAGTCTGGAGGCACCTCTTTGCTCAGCTTTGGGCCTGGCCTAGCCTGTCTTCCTTGTTCCCTTACAGGTTCCTTCTCAATAAATCTCTCACTTGCACAAGAATCTTCATCTCAAGCTTGGTTTCTAGGGAAACTGACTTTGGATGGATGGATGGATGGATGGATGGATGGATGGATGGACGGAGCTTGGCTGGCTGGCTAGATGATGGATGGATGATTTTTTTCATATAAAGATCAACAATCTGTCACTCATATGTGATTAACTGTGTTTCTAGCAAAACGGGGCTAGGGCACCAAGAACCACCCATACCCACCAGCCTGCGACACACATCTGTAAAACAGCTGGCCAACCAATTTTCCTTCTACCTGAAGCTCAGTGGTTCATGTGAGGCACCACAGCAAGAATTAAAAATTATGGGAGGGCCTCCCCGGTGGTGCAGCAGTTGAACGCTGGGCTGCAAAGCTGCCCGCAGCCTCTGCAGCACTGGTTCGATCCCCGGCTGCTGGCGAGGGTCCCACATGGCGAGCAGACCTCTCCTGCCGTGCCTGCTGCTCCCCTCAGCAGTGTACTTCGTCATTCTGCTCCCTGCTCTGGCTCTGGTGAATTCTTTCACCATCCCGCGCTTCTAACTGTACGCAGTGCATGTATAAATAAATAAATCAATCTTTAAAAAAATAAGAATTATGGGAGCTGGGTTTAAGCTCAAGTAATATGCTGGCTAGTCACGTGACCTTACACGAGGAATCTCAGTTACCTCCCGTGTGAAAAATAGATGAAAATAAGAAAACAAGACAAGTGTGAGTGTTAAGTAAGATCAATAGATATTAAGTTCTTTGCTCAGTGCCTGGAACACGGTAATCCCTCTTCAAATATTACCTGTGTTACTGTTGTTTCCTGGTGACCGTATTTGAAGTAACTCCCAAAATAAATTAGGAGGAAAAAAATAGTTAATCAATGCTCGGCTCTTTCTAGCCCATTCCTCTCCATTTTTTGTGACCATGCAAGCGGTGTCAGATCCATTTACACAAGACCTGCTGCCAAGAGCTGGCGTCCCTACATGCCCAGCAGAGCGCCCGTGGGCCAGGTTCTGTGGCTCTGTGACAGGGATGAGTGTGTGATCTCCATCTTCCAATTGAGCAACCCGAGGCTCCAAATGGGGACAGGAACCTCCTGAGCAAACAACCAGCAAAAGCAGAGGCAGGTTCCTCCCCCAGACTCTTCCCACTCTGCTTCCTGGCGCCCCATCCCATTGTATTGGTCAGGAAGCTTCCAGATGAAAACTGTGACTCAGTGAGCCTCAACAAAGAGGGCATTTATGACTTCACATGACAAGCAGTCCAGAAGGAAGGTGGCTCTTTAGTGGCTTGATAATGACATCAGCATCCAGTTACTTCCCTGTCCATGGCTGGTGCCCTCACTGGGTTGGCTCTGCACGCTGGGCAGCAACTCCAGGATCATCCTCAAGCCAAGAACAATGCCCTCTAGCAGGGGTAATTGTCCACTGCTGTCTCTTCCTGGGCCTCATTTAAAGTACTTCCTGTACACAGCAGATCACCCCTGAGGGTTGCTCCCTCAAACCTTAGTGGCCCAAGATGATGGGATCACCCTGATTGGTTTAGACTCCTCAAGATTTGTTTACCCCTGAGAGAGGATGGAGGCCGGTGGCTGCCATTGGGGCTGGACGGGCAAGCTCAGGCCTCAAGCAGGGGCAGGGCTGTGCTTGGAATGCTCCCTTTGGGGAGTGCAGCATCCAGTGCAGGGCCTATGGGCACATAGTAGGGGGTCAGCAGATACCTGTTGAATGACTGAATGAAGCTAGTTTGGTAAAGATCTGGGACTTTGGATCAAGAGGTGACTGGGCCTCTTGGTGGGATCTCAGGGCAACGGACAGAGTCCACAGAGTTAGGACAGACCCTCCCACCCAGAGTTCTCACTCTGGGCTACTTCCCAATGACTGACATTGGATAAAAGGCACAGGCAGGTCTAGTCTCTGCCTGCGTGGAGGACAAGATCACTGTGATTCCTGCTGCCTCCAGGAAAAACTGCGTGGGGAGTGACAGCATTGAACCCCTGATACCAGACACCTGCAGTAACCACTCGCCCACTCCTCTCCACTCTCCCTGGGACAGTGCATTTTCCAGCTACAGAAACTGAAACTTGAGGATGAGTCACTTGTTGATAACTGACAGGGCTGGGATTTGAACCCAGATCCCCCTGGCTCCAAGGCCACATCTCACCCTACCTCCTACACTCTCGTCTGGGACAGTTGGTGACTCAGCCCTGGGTGTCCCTTGGGGGAAGGGGATCGTCACACCCAGGGACCAGGAGGTGAGGGAGGAGCGAGGCAAGGCAGATACCTGGGGGAGAGGGGCGTGGAGTAGCCATCACACTGCAGTAACAGCCGCGCTTGAATAGGGACCTCACATTTTGGAGGGCTTTGTCCGGCCCAGAGCCCCTTCCCACCCAAGTAGCTGATCCAACCCTCCGGTCAAGTGGCTTCAGGCTTCCTCCTGTGTGTGTGTAGGGGCCCAGCCCAGCCCAGCCCAGGGCAGTGAGGGGTGGATGACATCACTTCCTTGTTTATCCAAACACCCAAGTCCCTTCCGCACATCCTCCTGTTGCTGCCACGTGCAGATGGGGCTGGCGCTCCTGCCTTCCATCCCCATCTCAGTGCCCCACCCCTCTGAAGGGGAGTGGAGGCACTGGCACTTGGGGTCCCTGACGTCTTTGCTCAATATGGAGGTCAGCCGAGAGCCGGCCTGACCCTGGGGCAGCCTGGACACGGCAGAGCCGGAGCTGGCTAGCTCTCTAACTTACACGCCTCCATTTTTTTCATGTGATTTTCACTTAATGATATGATTTTCATTTAAAATCTCTTGAAGAGCTTTTAAACATTTATAACAACTCAGGTCAGAGAAAGTCAAGGGCTTCTTCTCTGTTCTCTCTCTGCTCTAGGTCCTTGGCCAAGCCTGGCTGCCTCGGGGCCTCTTCTGGAAGGCTCTACCTGGGCCCTGGCAAGATGGCCCCCTTCTGTCACAGAGGTCAGTTGTCAAGTCCCTCCCTTGGACAAAGGTCCCCGCCCTCCCAACCTGAAGCAACCACTCCCCACCCTCTTCTGTCTCCTGCCCTCTTTAATTCTCGGCTCTGGAACAATAGTTTTCTCATCACTCATTCAGCCCTTTGCTTTTCTCATCATGGTCTTCTAGACGGAAGCTCTGGCCGCAGGGAGGGACACCGCGTCCCCAACCTCAGAGCAAAGCTGGGGCTTATGAAACTTCCTGGCTGAGTGCCCCTCCCTCCCTGGCCCAAATACCCCAGGTTTGGGAACTGCAAAACAGGAGGATGAAGGAGAAGTTTCAGCCATGGTGGCTTCTGGCTTCCTAAGAGGGAACTGGGGAGATGCCAATCCTGGGCCCCCTGTGCTGAGACCCTTATGCAGTGGTGCCCCCCTCTTGGGGTCTAAGACCCCCAGAGGATGTCTGAAAACACAGAGAGCATCAAACTGTATGTATATAAAATACTTTCTGACACGTACATGCCTATGATAAAATTTAATTTGTAAATTTAGGCACTGCAAGAGATCAACAATAAAAGCTAGTAATAAAATAGAACAATTATCACAATACACCGTC